AGGGGGGCACAACACGAGCCGAGAGGACGTCCACCGCGGGAGACGGAGCGACGAAATCAGCTCACGCGCGCGCGTCAGGTGTACAGATTGCCGCGTTGCGAGACCGCGAGAGAAGGAGGACGGCTTGGGGAAGCCTTCATCCAACGGAGGGGCGCCGCGGTGACGAGATGTGGTCGCGTGGAGTTTTCTCCGGGCCCTCCGGCTTTTCCCTCCACATTTAGGATCAACGTGCGTTTAGAGTATGAGGCTGTTAGGAGTTTCGTTGAGCTATCAGTTGTGATATATAGCTCAGCGGGCCTTACCTGGTAAAATAAACAAATCAATTTCGATTTAAAGCTTTCGTGACTGCAGGGATTCATCTTCTTGGTTCTTTTGGTAAAGTCACGACAGCCATGTTCTTCACCTGAGGACGGCTGCTTGCGTTGTGGCCGAAACGTCATGAGAATTGTATTTTATTATGTTTTGTTTTTGTTATTTTATTATTTCCCTTCTACGTGACTTTACCGAAAGAACCAAGAAAATAAACAAATAGTTTAGTTTTTTTTTTTTAGACAGATCCCGCCGCTGTTGACGGTGATGATGACGATCCCCAACACCGCGACGACGAATCTCGTTGCACCAACGACCCCACACAGGCCAAACTAATTGTTGGGCCTGTGTGGGGTCGTTAATAGCTTCTCCATGCCCCACAGAGAAAGAAACTATGTCTCATTGGAATATGAAAGCTCTTGAACTATAGCCTATCCCGCAGCTACCTCGGTTTGGATGTAAAGTAAGCTACAGTTTAAAACGATTCGCAATTGATTTTTAGGTTATGTCACTCAAAGATCCGGTCAAATATCTGTCGCAGGTCCCCGCTGAGAATTGCTGTCCGACTCGAGCGATGAGCGAGCCGTGGCAATAAAAATAAACTGAAAACTCTGAAACTTTTTTTATTTGACCAGGTAAGGCCCCCAGTAAGCTGTGTAGCTCTTTGTTCAGAAGCGACTTGGCCACAAATGACAGCTCAACGAAGTGGCTCATCATCACGTGGCAATCTACAGCAGCCAAATACTCTAAACGCGTGACGTTGATTCTAAATGTGGAGGGAAAAACCGGAGGATCCGGATAAAAATCAACGCGACTACAGGGAGAGAGAGAGACATGCAAACTCCGAGCATATAGCAGGCATCAGGGTCGGGAACGAACCGACGACCTCCCTCATACCGAGCTAAGTAGTTAACATCTCGCCATCGCGTCGCCCTCTCTGCACCGATAACATTCGGCGAGTAGTTAACCAGACCTGCACTGATAACATTGGGTGAGTAGTGAACCACGCCTGCACTGATAACATTGGGTGAGTAGTGAACCACGCCTGCACTGATAACATTGGGTGAGTAGTGAACCACGCCTGCACTGATAACATTGGGTGAGTAGTTAACCACGCCTGCACCGATAACATTGGGTGAGTAGTTAACCACCCTGCACTGATAACATTGGGTGAGTGGTTAACCACGCCTGCACCGATAACATTGGGTGAGTAGTGAACCACGCCTGCACTGATAACATTGGGTGAGTGGTTAACCATGCCTGCACCGATAACATTGGGTGAGTAGTTAACCACCCTGCACTGATAACATTGGGTGAGTGGTTAACCACGCCTGCACCGATAACATTGGGTGAGTAGTTAACCACGCCTGCAGTGATAACATTGGGTGAGTAGTTAACCACGCCTGCACCGATAACATTGGGTGAGTGGTTAACCACACCTGCACCGATAACATTGGGTGAGTGGTTAACCACGCCTGCAGCGATAACATTGCGCGAGTAGTTAACCACACTTGCACCGATAACATTGCGTGAGTGGTTAACCACACCTGCACCGATAACATTGCGCGAGTAGTTAACCACACTTGCACCGATAACATTGCGTCAGTGGTTAACCCCTCTCTGCACCGATAACATTGGGTGAGTGGTTAACCACACTTGCACTGATAACATTGAGTGAGTAGTTAACCACGCCTGCAGTGATAACATTGCGTAAGTAGTTAACTACGCCTGCACCGATAACATTGGGTGAGTGGTTAACCACGCCTGCACCGATAACATTGAATGAGTGGTTAACCACGCCTGCACCGATAACATTGGGTGAGTGGTTAACCACGCCTGCACCGATAACATTGGGTGAGTGGTTAACCACGCCTGCACCGATAACATTGGGTGAGTAGTTAACCACGCCTGCACCGATAACATTGGGTGAGTAGTTAACCACGCCTGCACCGATAACATTGGGTGAGTGGTTAACCACGCCTGCACCGATAACATTGGGTGAGTGGTTAACCATGCCTGCAGTGATAACATTGGGTGAGTGGTTAACCACGCCTGCACCGATAACATTGAATGAGTGGTTAACCACGCCTGCACCGATAACATTGGGTAAGTGGTTAACCACGCCTGCACCGATAACATTGGGTGAGTGGTTAACCACGCCTGCACCGATAACATTGGGTGAGTGGTTAACCACGCCTGCACCGATAACATTGGGTGAGTGGTTAACCACGCCTGCACCGATAACATTGGGTGAGTGGTTAACCACGCCTGCAGTGATAACATTGGGTGAGTAGTTAACCACACTTGCAGCAATAACATTGGACAAGTAGGTAACCACACTTGCAGCAATAACATTGGGTGAGTGGTTCACCACGCCTGCACCGATAACATTGGGTGATTATACTCTTTGGTTTTTTCGGTAAAGTCACGTAGGTAATAAATTAAAATAAATTTAAATTACGACGTTTCTCGTAAGTGACACACTTAAGCGGTGTGCTTTTGCTAAGCTGTCCCCACCTGAAGAAGGACGCTTGTGTTGCGCTCGAAACGTCGTGATTTAATTTATTTGAATTTTTTACCTACGTGACTTTACCGAAAAAACCAAAGCGTACGAATCCTTGCAGTCACGAAAACTTCAAATCTAGAATTGGGCGAGTAGTTAACCACGCCTGCACCGATAACATTGGGTAGTTAACCACGCCTGCAGTGATAACATTGGGTAGTTAACCACGCCTGCACCGATAACATTGGGCGAGTAGTTAACCACGCCTGCACCGATAACTTTGGGTAGTTAACCACGCCTGCACCGATAACTTTGGGTAGTTAACCACGCCTGCACCGATAACATTGGGTAGTTAACCACGCCTACACCGATAACATTGAGTAGTTAACCACGCCTACACCGATAACATTGGGTAGTTAACCACGCCTACACCGATAACATTGGGTAGTTAACCACGCCTGCACCGATAACATTGGGTGAGTAGTTAACCACGCCTGCACCAATAACATTGGGTGAGTAGTTAACCACACTTGCACCGATAACATTGTATGAGTAGTTAACCACAATTGCACCGATAACATTGGGTGAGTAGTTAACCACGCCTGCACACCGTGCCAGGTGGTGGATGGCCTCACGACACAAATTTGCCGATGACGTTAGGAGGTTGGGGGGCCAACACAACAAAACAATCAACGGTGAATCGTACGCGCTGGTCGCGGAAACCCGACGCGTTGTGATTGACTTTAAACGCCACGCACTTTGTCCACTGCTTCGAGTTGTACGGTTGTACGGTATTCCCTCGCTATCCGCTCGTGAATAGAAAATTTCGCGGATAATGATATTGTCCTACGAATGACCTTAAACAAGTACGTAAATAAGCTTTAAAATACGTGACAATGATCAGAATGAGACAAAAAATAATTATTATAATAAACAAAGCAAATAAAAATAAATATGAAAATATTATAGTTTATAAATGCAGTCGTTGCCGAGTTGCAGACGCGATTGGCGGACAGCCAGAATCACGGACAGCAAGTTCGTAAACAGCGAGGGAAGACTGCAACGTCTCAACTCGCATTGCATTGTGGGCCACGTGCGTCTCAGCTGACAATCGACTTCAAAGGGGGGCGGCGGCGGTGACGCGGCGTCAGCGGGAGCGCAGTTTCGCCACGCTCCTTGCAGAGGGTTCGCGGTACGATTCCGGAAGACCGCCCTGGTCAATACTGCGGTGGTGTGTGAACCATAATAAAAAATTTAACCCGTAGAAACAAAGTTTTTCACTATAAATCCTTTATATGCGTGGCATCGGTTTTATTTTATTATTCATTTCTGTTTTTCTTGAGTAAGAGTTTCATTTTTTATCACATTGGTATTTTAAATGAAATATGAAAAAAAAAAATTTCCTAAAAAGTGGAAAATTTTAGAAAACATTTTTTACGCAAATAAATTGTCACGCACAACGAGTCTGTGTGCAACATGTCAGCTCGATTGGATCACGGGAAGTGGGTTAAAAAACGACCGAAAGATTTGCACGGTCGTAAGCGCGCAAGCAAGCAAGCGAACTTAATATAAAGGATTTAAAAAATAGTCCGCGCCGTCTGTTTGGCCGTGGCGTGGCGGTTAGCGGACTAAGCGCTACGAACCCGGCGATTCCCGCTCACGGCCAACACCGGTGACGATTATCTGAACTGGTCATGGACCTCCCCTAGGTCGACTCAGCCTCAAATGAGCACCTGGTGCGGAGTATAAAAACATCACCACCGAGGAGACAAAGGCGGCCGGCGTGGTCCTGGCCACCCACCCCCTCGTGTGCCGTGCCGGCCTTCATAGGTGCTCGCTAACAGCACTTGCCCCAACAGTCCATGAAGGCTATAACGGGGGATCTTTATCTTTTGTTTTTGACAACGACCCATTAACGTCATTCGAAGAGGAGTAGGCCACCGTTTTCCGGCAGGGTCACCGTCTGAATTTGCTACGTTTAGAAAAATTACGCCGCAAAATAACTTAACTTGGCACACGCGCAGCGATGCTTGTCAACTGCGAAAACGTGGCAGGACCCTCTTGAAAACCGTCCTCGAGACTCCCGGCTAAACAAGCGTGGGAAGGTAACACACAAACGATGGGCCCGCTCGCCCCGGGTTAGCCGACAATCGCGAACGGTCGAGACGAAGGGCGTGGATGAGCGTACCTGTCTCTGCGAGTAGGGACCGGCCGCCATGGGGGGCTGGGGGCCCCCCTGGGCTCCCATCGGGTAGCGCTGGGGGGTGGGCGGGCTGTACGGTTGCTGAGCCGAGTAGGGCCCCCCCTGGCCGGCCTGCTGGGGGTGCTGGGGGTAGGGGCTACCTCCCATTCCGTACGGCTGCGGCCGCTTCACCCCCATGGGCTCCATGGGATTGCCCTGCGGAGGCCGGGCGAGACGGGGAGGCACGGCGTGCACCAAGCGGTTAGCAGGTTCAGGGGCCGCGCGGTGGCTACAAAAACAACAACAAAACCACTTCGCGGCCGTCAATACATTTGACAATACACAGAACCGCTCTCTCGCGGATTCGTTTTAAATCAACGGCCGCCCGCGCTTTCTTCGACGCCGAGACACAGAACAGCGTAGCGCGCTCCTGCAAAGCAAACCGTGCCCGTGGAATTAAATCAGCGGCTGGAAAGGGACGGCGAGTCGGCGCTATTAATTGGATTTTTCATTGTTTTCGACACGTGGTTAAAACGAGCCTGCTCCGGGAAACCAAGGGGCAGGCTGTGCGGGAAGAGGCCCCCAGACCCAACCGCTGTCCCCCCGCCACCCCTCCCCCCGGTCCCCACAGTAACTCCTACATCTTCTTAACATTGGCTCGCAACGGCCCCCTCTCCCGAGCGGACGGCGGCATCGTTAAAGGGTGACCGGTCACGGTGCCGCTTTGTGGCAGCTCGGCGCAAAACCGAGACGGGCAGACGCGGAGAGAGGACGGCCCCCTTCCCACCCCTCCCCCCACGCTGTCAGCAGCGCCTTTCATTGCGTAACGTCAGGCGGTGGCGCGTGCGGCGCGTGCGGCACACAAAGACAAACACAACTCGGGGCTGGGCTCCTCGCCGCGTGCCCTGGCTAGCACATGGCTAATCTACATAGAGAAAGGTCTCCGCCTCCCCCCCCCCACGCCCACCCGTCCACTGCCCCACCCTTCCCCCCCACACACACCGGCTTGCCTGCCTGCCTGCCTGCCCGTCCGTCCGTCCGCTGTCTGGAGGTTTGCTGGACTGGAATCTCGCGCTGTGGTCGGCGGCACCGTTTGGGGGCGGGCGGGCTGGCGGGCTGGGGGGGAGTGGGGGTGGCCCGTGCCTGGAGCGTTTGACCCGACGACTCGCGGCGTCAGCCGAGGGGAAATTCGAGCGCGCGAGAATTTGACCGTCGCCGTGCCCGCCGTGCTGGGTCTCTCGCTGGGCGGGCGGGCGGGACGCCCTCCCCGACGGGCGTGACGGGACAACCCCACGGCGTCCCGCACGAGCGGCACGGTCACCACGTCCACCGAGAACGACGGTCTCGCGATTTGCCTCGATTATCGGCGGGTGGACCCAGGAGAGAGCTCCGGTGGTGGGGGTAGGAGTGGGGGTAGGAGTGGGGGGGGGGGGATGCCACATCCCAATCCCAAATACAAAAACATTACAAGGGTCAAGAGAATGTGAACAGTTGTCGGCTGAGAAAGTGTTGGAGGGGTTGTCGCCTGTTACTCGGAGAGTCTCGGCAAGAATTGTTAAAAAATTCGGCATTGATCGAGACTTTTCCCACATTTGCATCCAGCAGTTATTTTCATAATTTTTTCGTGTCCGAGAGTCAGTTCTCTCAAACGGGACGTGCACTCTTTATGCAAATCCCAGGTCGCTGTTATCTGCGGCAGGCCTCCGCGGGAACGCTTCTGTTCCCTTGTTTCGAAAGCTCTCAACTTTCCGCAACCAGCGCGGCCCGGCCCTTTCCAGTCTCCAGCCTCGCGGCCCGTCACACGGAGCTCGGGACCAGTCAGAGGCCCCCCCCCCCCCGCCGCACGCGGGGCCGCAACCGATAGCAGGCACAGAAGGCCAAACTCAAACTTGGGCCCAAGGCCACGTGGTTTTAAACGGCGAACAAGCACTGACAAATCATCCGGCACCTCGTAAGGACGCACGCACAAGGGCACACGCCAGGCCAGGATCCTGCCTGCCGCATGGCAAGTTGCACGGCTCTTGAGGCACGCTTCGTCCACGCGATGGTGAAGCACATTTTTACTGGGGAACCGACGATGAATTCTGAAATTCTGAAATTCAGAATTCATAGCGATTATAAACCGCGGTGTCGGATGCCCTCTGACCAACAGACTTTTTTGCCCGCTCTGGGGACGGTGGCGATCACGCGCTGCTCGTTCAGCGTGCGCGTCAAACCGTCGACCTATTCCGTAAATACCCCCACGCTTTCTGAAACTGTGGATAATTGGTTGCAAAAACGACACCATCGTAGGTGTCACGGGGATTATTTCACAGCGGTGCGACTGTCTCTTTCACGGCGCTATCCCCTTCACAGTGGCGTGTCAACGGCATGTCGCAGAAAGTTGGTGACAGACGCACTACTTCCTTCAGATTTTTTACTATTTAATTTAATTTTACCAGGTAAGGCCCACTGAGCTATGTAAAGTGCCCACAAATGATAGCTCAACGAAGTGGCTTATCACGTGGAAATATATAGCAGCTGCCAAACACTTAAAACGGAAGATTCTAAATGGGGAGGGAAAAACTGGAAGAGCCGAGAAAAATGCAGGCGACCACGGGGAGAAAGACACACCGCAAACTCCAAATATACAGCAGCAGGCGTCAGGGTTGAGATCGAACCCGCGACCTCCTGTAGACCAGGCGAGGTAGTTAACATCTTGCCAGACTGGCGCCCTGACTGAAGAGTCACCGGGGGGCGGTGGCTCACAAAAGGAGACTGTGAGGCCCAAGACCCCGTGTGACCAAGTTCACAATCGCCACCAGGAGGGGAGGAGGTTCTGACCACAAGCATCAACGAAACGTGGTGGAGAGAGGAAGGGGGCAACTCCAGGGCCAGGAGATCAACGACAGATCCCTCGCAACGTGCCCCTCCGTTGCCGTGCGCGGCCAACAAAGTGGAGGGTGGCATCGCACGTCACCACAACCATCCCCAGACCAACATATCCCAGGACCTTGAAACCTCGAATGGTTGAAAGACCGCGGAGTCGAGAACAATCTCTGCAGTGAACGAGAGAGCGAGAGAGAGAGGCAGCCTGCGAAGGGAGGGCTCTCTCCACCCAGAATGCCACAGCCCACGCAGGAAATCCAAGCACACCGAACAATCTCCCGGCCTCCCCTAGACAACAGAAGGCTCCCTCAATGGTCTAGTTCTTCGTCAAACCTACGCAGGTCCTGCCCCTACCTTGCGGCAGACATTGAGAAGCCAACGCGCGCACGCGCACGCACGCACGCACGCAGGCGTGTGAAAACACCGGAAATTACCGTGACCCCGCGGCATGTCCTGCACGCCTTCGCGGCGTCCCCACGGCGGTGCGGCTCGTCACGAGAGACGGGGACAAACCTCGCTTTCGAGACCGCGACCGGCCTGAGCGGCCACTCCGTATGCCGCACCAAGCGGGCCACCTCCGCCACCGAACCCCACGGGGGCAGGGGAACGGGTTGGGGGGTGGTGGCACCACAGCGGAGGCGGCGGCGGCGCGAGGAGACGCAGAGCCGCACGCCGGAACTCCCCCGCGTCAATTGCGGCCGTCGGATGATGAGGGGGGGAGCCACGGGAGATGTGGCGGCAGTGGCGGTGGCGGGCGCTACGTGCGTGACTGTACACCCCGAGCCCCCTCGCTCCCCTGCCGAATACAGTCGCCATGTCAGCAGACGGCCCGGGGGCCCTTACGTAATTTCACAAACCCAGCAGTCACCAGGCAGTGAGGGCGGCACACGTGGGCCTGGCAAACGCGTAGAGGGAAAAAGAGCGACCCGCAAAATGCACTCGCACGCTTTCACAACAGCAGCTCCCGGGGTTCGTCCTTTGGGCTCCCATCAGCAGGGCGCAGCCAGTTCGCCGATCACACGTGCGCTCTCTCTCTCTCACACTCTAATGACCGAATCACCCCAACTGCGCCTGATCTCGTCAGATCTGGGAAGCTAAGCGAAAGTTGAAGGCCGGTCATCGCTCGAATGGGAGACTGCCTGTGAATCGCGGGTGTTGTAGGCTTCCGCGGGGCTGAGGTGGCTATGAGATGGCCAGGGCATCAAGAGGATTTATTGAATCTGTATCGAGCTTCCAGTGTCACCCCTATGGTATCCGTGGTGGATTTTCTCCAGGGTTCTCTCGTTCTCCTCGCACACACAAAGCTCATTACGAATGGAAATCATGGCCAGGCATCGCCAATGTGACAGCATCCTCCTGACAAAACAGCCCGAGACTCGGCGGGACTCTCCTGGGTAAATGTGGAAAACGCGACACCATTCGTCAATATCACCTGTCTTAAAATTAGAACCCGACAATCATCGGCCAAGGGAGGCCCAAAAACACCGGACAGAGGGCCAGCGGACGCCGTGAGCAAACGGGCTGCCGAGTACGTTTACCTGATAGGATCTGGGGATTTTTTGTCGTGGATTTTTAAAGTTCCATCGCAATTCTTACTGGGAACGTCCTCTTTGCCGGGCCACATTTGTTGAGCACAGAGAACCGCGGAGAGCCAAACAAATCCTCACCTCCCCCCACATATCTCGGGGAGGATTTGGATCGGAAATCCCCGGGAAAATGTTCAGAGGCTGGTCCAGGGTGACCCTTACCCAAAAAATAAAAATGTTGACAATCATAAAAGTCACATTATCACTCAAAACATCGTGGGTCTAGAGATGCACCTCATTCTCAGGATATGTCCGAAGAAAGTGACCCACGGCCTGGCCAGTGACTTCTGGACAAGAAGACCAGATCGCCGTTCATCCCACGGTGGTGCCTGCCGGTGGCCGCGTTACCTGGGATCTGGCGAGGGCCTGGCCAGATCCACCCGGACTGAGGGCCGGATGCGTCCGCTGATGTCCTCCCCACGCCGCCTGCTGCTGCTGCTGCTGAGCCGCTCCGTATTGGCCGTGGGCCGTCAGCTCGGCCGCTTTGGGCCCTGCCATGCTGGCGTGCAGGCCCTGGTGGAGGCTCTGGTGAAGGCCCTGGTGCTGGTGTTGGTAGTCTTGGGCCGCGTAGCTGTTGTAGGCCCTGGCGGGGCTGGGGGCGGTCAGCAGCTGATTGAGGGTCGGGGTCGCGCCGCTGGGAGGCGGCTGTGTAGAGTTCACGTGGCTCAGCAACCTCTGCTGATGATGGTGCTGCTGCTGCTGGTGGTGCTGATGGTGATGGTGCTGCTGAGTCTGCTGGTGCTGCTGCTGCTGCTGGTGGTGCTGATGATGATGGTGGTGGTGCGCATAGCCACTCATCATGTGTTGTTGTTGCTGTTGTTGTTGCTGCTGCTGCTGCTTGGTTAGAGCTGCCACACGAGGCCCCCCCAGAACGTATCCCGGCTGGGCCGGGTATCCCCTGGGTGGAGGCGCTCCGTAGCCGCCGTACTGCTGATGATGATGCTGCTGCTGCTGATGATGGTGCTGATGATGGTGGTGGTGATGGTGGTGGGCGCCTGCCCCGTACTGCCCCGCGCCTCCACTGCTGTTGGCGTAGCCGTCGTGAGCGTTGAGAGGCCCGTCCACCAGCAGAGCGGCCTGGCTTTGTTGTCCGCCATGTTGCTCGTAAGAGGACGACGTCGAGGAGGAGGAGGTGGACGAGGTGGAGGACGAGGAGCCGGGAGCCCCCGGGGGAGGCCCGGGTCCACCTCCTCCACCACCGCCGCCGCCAAGGCCTCGGTACGGGGTCGGGTAGCCGTACCCCGCCGCTGCTGCCGCTGCCCCAAGGGGGCCTTCGTATCGGGCCTCCCCGGCCATGGCAGGGCCCTCTGCCATGGGGCCCTGGTGAGGCAGCGAGGCAGCAGCAGCAGCAGCAGCGGATGATGATGAAGAAGACGACGATGATGGAGGAGGAGGATGGAGCCACAGAGGAGGGATGCGAGTGGGAGGCAGCAGGAGGATGAGGAGGATGAGGCCCCTTGGCAAGGTGCAACACGCGACCATCAGAGTCCCCAAGGGCCCCAATCTCCCTGCCACCTCCACCTCCACCACCTCCACCATATTGAGGCTCGTCCCCCGCCTTGAGCCTGTGGTTAGACAGCACATCCTGATTGCCGCCCCCCACCAACACCACGCCGCCGCCATCCTTGCCTCCTCCTCCCGTGTCACGGCTCTCGGGCCCCTGCTGCTGCTGCCCCTGCTGCCCCTTGGGTCCCGGGGCTTCAGCCGCGTCTCTGTTACTGTTGCTGCTGCTGTTGTTGCTGTTGCCGCCGCCGCCTGCAGCCGGAGGGACCTGCGCGGCCATGATCTGTGCTGCTGCTGCTGCGCGATCAGCGACAGCAGCGCGAGGAGGAGGACGACGCCGCCGCGGCTGCTGCTGCTGCTTCTACCTCTGCTGCTGCTGATGATGATGATGGTGGTGGTGGTGATGATGGTGATATCAACGACGCCAGCACCGCAAGTCGTCCGACCCGCATCATCGCCTCCCGCCCGCCCGCCCGCCGGCCGGCCTCGCGTCCCTCCTCCTCCCGCTCGGGCTCCTGATGGACGATCGCTCCACGTCGCGCCGCCTCGTCGCTGCTGCTACTGTTGTTGTTGTATCTCCCGTGGTGGTCGCTGTTGTTGTTGTTGTTGCTGCTGCTGTGGTTATTGTTGTTGTTGTAGGCTGGCTGGTCTGGCTCGCGCGAGGTTTCTCCTCTCGCTCACGGAGCCCGCATGGCACCAGCGGCAGCCGCGGCTCAACTATTACCCATTGCTCCTATTAGCGGGCGGGCGGGCGGGCGGGTGGGCAGGGCGCAAGTCCCGGAGTGGATCGCGGGCCCGCAACCCACGGGCTACGGAGCGTGGAGCATGGAGCCACGACGCATTCGGCTGATGATGTTTGGAGGAATGCCGTGCGCTGTGTGTGCATGCCGTGCAATGCGCTGGGTGGATGACGGCTCAAGTTGATTTTGTGCGAGCTTCCAGGTGAGAAATTCGAGAGGGAGCATGATGGGTTTTAAATTGCACGAGCGACTGGTACAGCCCCCTCCCTCCCCCACCTGGGTTAATCAAAATGGGAAGAGAAGCAATGATGGGCACAGAAACGTGGGTTGCACGGGTGACTGGGGTCGTGGTGGAGAGAATGGAAATCGGTGCAAAAGCAACAGTGGTTCTACAGAAGAAGGAGCATCGAAAACAGTGGATCAACACAAATTAATGTAAAATTACATTTCCTGGAATGAAAGCGTTGTCTCGGACCGCGTGTATAAAAAAAACAATTGGAGTACAATTAACTCACGCAAACATCAATACGGATGTAGGGTGATTATTGCACTGGTATTTAAATGAGGCTATTAATTGATTCTAGGTTATAGATGTAATGCGGTGTGTGTACATGCGTCACGGCGTGTTTCCTGTGTGTGTGTGTGGCGAGCGTGCGTACCGGTCATGAGCATTCCCTAGATCGACTCAGCCTCAAATGAGTACCCGGTGCGGTGTGTAAAACATCACCACCGGGGAGACAAAGGCGGTCGGGCGTGGTGCTGGACACCCACCCCCTCGTGTGCCGTGCCGGCCTTCGTAGGTGCTCGCTAACAGCACTTGCCCCTACGGTCTGTCCGAGGCTATGCTGTTAATTACCTAGCCTCTGTCTTTTGTGTGTCCACGTGTTATCGCGTGGTTGCTGTGCACGTGTCAGCTGACGGCCTTGGACACCGTTGCCCCATCTCGAGGAGTAACTCCACGCAGGGGCTGTGCATGGGGGTGCGGGGCCCAGGGCGATCGCCTCGATTCGCCGTACCCTGGAGACGGCTCTGGCACTGCACGTGAGCTCTGTTCTCACCCCCCACTCCCCTCGTCTTCACGGTGATGGTTCTCTGAGGTTTCCTCCTCCTCCCACGCGCAATCGAACTCCCATGGCCATACATCTCCACGTGGCAGCACCCTCCTGGATAGGAGCCTTGAGACTCAGCGAGGCTCTCCCTTGGTTAATAATTGGAACAGTTATTGGCTGAATGGAACATTGCATCGAGACGCAATATACGATACTAACACAAATCGATTTAACCGGGACAGTCAACGCGTCACCCCGGATTGTGACGGTCGTATCGATTGGTGTGTCGTTCACACGTGCTGTTGTTCTATTGCACAATATTTATTACACCGAATATGGTATTGCATATACTACATTAGCAAGTGTCGATCATTCCCAATGGTCGTTTCCATGACCAAGTCAATCAACGAATTCGAGATGCGCGATTCATATGATCTCACCTTTACAATGTATGCCTTTGTGTTTCAAAATTTAATTTCAGGGGAAGAGTCTGCCCAGTTAAACCTGCAGCATTGGCTCGAAGCTTACTCAACTTTGGACCAACGATCGAATCACGGTGTAACGTTATTCCAACGTTGTTCCAACGTTGTTCCAACGTTATTCCAACGTTGGTGCAATTTTCCAACGTTGGCACGTTCACTGAGGTTAACGTCGGTGTGGCTAACGGTGGAAGAATGGTGTCTCCCTGTCTGACTCAAGACCCCACAATGCACCCGAAGACCACAATGCACTAATTCAGGAAATGCTGATGGGGTATTTTTGCACGTTGCACAGAGGCGGTGTGCGTTGTACGCATTGTCTGTGTCTTGTTTGAAACGAGTCGTCCCACTCCCCCTGCAGATGTCTCTTAGCTTCAGTGGAAGCTCAGAGCAGCTCTTCCCTTTTTGGATTATAAAAACCGATGATGATGATGCTCAAGGCTGCTTTCTGTGTTCAGTCTGTTGTCCTTCCCCCGCATCCTCCGATTAGCACGGCTGGTTACCCACGGTGCGAAAGAAGGCCAACATACGCACAGAACAACAACGATCAATGTAATTGCCCCGATCGTGACTTGGGATCACAGGCACGGGCTTGGAGATAGAAAGTTGAACGAAAGCTGAAGTGGACGCAAATAAGCGTGGCGGCGACTGGTGCACGCCGGGAATGACACTCAGAGACAGCGCCAGGAACGCGTGGATTGCAGAGCACAGCGCAAAGTTCGTGACGGCATCCAAAGTGTTAAGAAATCTGAGCGGGGCTTGGGCAAGGACGCGTCACGGCTAAAAAGGGGCGATTAGGAAGTTGCGGTGGCTAGGAGATGTTAACTACCTCGCCTGGTACACAGGAGGTCGGGGCTTCGATCCCAAACCTTGACGACTGCTGTATATTTGGAGTTTGCGTCTCTCTCTCTCATCACGGTGGCTAGGAGATGTTAACTACCTCGCCTGGCACACAGGAGGTTGAAGCTTCGATCCCAACCCTTGACGACTGCTGTATATTTGGAGTTTGCGTGTCGCTCTCTCATCATCATCACGGTGGTTATGAGATGTTAACTACCTCGCCTGGTACGCAGGAGATCGGGGCTTCGATCCCGACCTTGGCGCCTGCTGTATATTTTGAGTTTGCGTGTCCCTCTCCCCGTGGTCGCGTGGATTTTTCTCCGGGTCCACTGGTTTTCCCCCACTCCACATTTAGAATCGTGCGTTTATACATTAAACTCACCTCCGAATGAGACGGTTGCCTACGTACGGTGCGAAAGAAGTTCAGCATACAGAACATCAACGGATGACGGTCAATACTAATAACGGAGCGGCAGCCAAGGAATGGAACGCGTCCGAGAGGATGCCTGCCCGGGGAGATGGAGCGATGGAATGGCTTCGTGTGGGGTTGCTGGATGGATCGCCGCATTGCAAGTTCGTGATGGGGTGGCGGCGGTATTGGGGATGCCTTCATCCAGCAGTGGATTGATCACGGCTGACGTGCGATTTGATGGAAGTCGTTAACAGCGTGAGGATTGACGCGGCTCTTACCGATGAGACTGGGTGACTTGTCACCAGATGGAGCCAATCACACATAATTAACGAGCATAGAACAATACAAAGCGCACAATATAAAAAAACATCGCACTATCCAAAACTCACTACGTTGTGTACCCACTTACGACTTGAATCGGGACAACATTTGTGTAATCAAAGAGTTTTGAGACGCATTAAAATATATATTCTGAGCACGTCATGGACAGGATTTGAACCTGTGCGGGGAGACCCCATTGGATTTCGAGTCCAACGCCTTAACCACTCGGCCACCATGACTCCACGTGCTCCTCGGCTGACTCGGCGACCACGTGGATGCATTGCAACGGAGACGCGTCGATTACGTTGCGATTATAAAAAAAAAACAATGTCTTCTTGGTAATCTTTCGGTAAAGTCACGTAGAAGGGATATAATAAAACAATAAAAATAAAACACAATAAAATAATTCTCACGACGTTTCGGCCACAACGCAAGCAGCCGTCCTCAGGTGAAGAACAGGTCTGTCGGGAAGACAGCGTCTGAATGACAGACGCTGTCTTCCCGAACCAAGAAGATGAATCCCGTACAGTCACGAAAGCTTTAAATCGAAATAAAAACCAATGTATTCGTGTGGCCTTCAAAGGAAAAACGTATAAAGAATAGGCGACGTTTCGGGCAATGCCCCTTCTTCAGCAGCAACTAAACTATGCTCAAGGTATGATAATCGAATCTGGCATTTGTAAGAAGCAACGCATTCTTCGACAACACAGTCGCCTTAAAAGAAAATAATCGGTGACGTTTCGGGCAATCGCCCTTCACTATAGTACGCATATAAATAGAGTGGTCAGATAGCTCTTGAGTGACTACGAGTTGAAGACTGCACTCAAGCTGTTAACCATTCCATCTCTCCGTGACTTCTCAATTCCTTCTAAATATTGAAGCTTTCGTGACTGCAAGGATTCATACTCTTAGTTCTTTCGGTAAAGTCACGTAGGTAAAAAATGAAATTAATAAAAATAAAACAATAAAAATCACGACGTTTCGGAGGCAACACAAGTCTCCGTCATCAGGTGGGACCGTCACAGCAATTCTAAGAAGGCCCATTGCCCGAAACGTCACGCAACAACAACAACAGCAGCAACAGCCGGCACAAAACAGCCCACCTACGAAACGCGCCTGCCGTGCTCCGGGGTGCCATCGCGGATCTCGGCAATCCACTCCGGGTTTTTGCTCGGATTCTGGGTAGGGCTCCCCCCTCTCTCTGCCATCAAGGCAGCAACGGCAGCAGCAGGCAGCAGGCAGTCAGGGCACTTGGATCCTTACGCTGTCAATTCTTATCACCTAATGATCAGCAGCCGGCGTGTTGAGCGCTGCCGACTCTGCGCGTCCCGGCTTCGGCTACCTGTTACGCGGCCACGTCTGGCGACGATTGCGTGCGGATTGGCTACGCGGTGGCACGAAAAACAGGGGGGACTATTTTCTGTAATAATGCCCCCGTCTTTCTTGTTGGATGTAATGAACATTGCGGGGTTGTGTGTGTGCGTGTGTGAGTGCGTGCAAGTGCGTGTGTGTGCGCGCACGTTTTTGTGCGTGTCCAAGCAAGGTGTGCGGTGAATGCACACCACGTTTTAAGCACGATTTAACCACGAACACCGCATCTGAAACCGAACGCATGCAACGCTGCAAAACAAATCTGACGACAATAGCCATTGGTTGTTGTGGACGCCCCAAAGAAACCAGACCAGAGAGAAAAAGAGAGAGATTTTTTTTTAAACCTGCGGCAAATTAATGCACACATCGGCCACACGCAATGCAGTCCCGCAGATTAAGAGGCAGTATTTATTATATACTGCATAGATTCACAGCACCGCACCCACATTGCAATGGGTGTGTGTGTGTATGTGTCGCATTTGTACTTTGAGTGCCATCTGCGAGTGAGATG